CTCTGACTAATACTTTTATTAACTCCACACCTTCTCCTAATTTCCACACTCCGAATTTTCTGCATAATATTTACACCACACATTGCCCTTAAACAGGACATCTCCGCTGCCTCCAACCGTCTCCTCGCTGCTGCATTTACCACCCAAGCTTCACACCCATATAAGAGTGTTGGTACTACTATACTTTCATACATTCCCTTCTTTGCCTCCATAGATAACGTTTTTTGACTCCACATATACCTCAACGCACCACTCACCTTTTTTCCCTCATCAATTCTATGATTAACCTCATCCTTCATAAATCCATCCGCCGACACGTCAACTCCCAAGTATCTGAAAACATTCACTTCTTCCATACTCCTCCTCCCCAATTTGATATCCAATTTTTCTTTATCTAAATCATTTGACACCCTCATCACCTTACTCTTTTCTATGTTCACTTTCAACTTTCTACCTTTACACACATTCCCAAACTCATCCACTAACCTTTGCAATTTTTCTTTAGAATCTCCCATAAGCACAGTATCATCAGCAAAAAGTAACTGTGTCAATTCCCATTTTGAATTTGATTCCCCATAATTTAATCCCACCCCTCTCCCAAACACCCTAGCATTTACTTCCTTTACAACCCCATCTATAAATATATTAAACAACCATGGTGACATTACACATCCCTGTCTAAGACCTACTTTTACCGGGAAGTAGTCTCCCTCTCTTCTACACACCCTAACCTGAGCCTCACTATCCTCATAAAAACTCTTTACAGCATTTAATAACTTACCACCTATTCCATATACTTGCAACATCTGCCACATTGCTCCTCTATCCACTCTATCATATGCCTTTTCTAAATCCATAAATGCAATAAAAACTTCCCTATCTTTATCTAAATACTGTTCACATATATGCTTCAATGTAAACACCTGATCTACACATCCCCTACCCACTCTAAAACCTCCTTGCTCATCCGCAATCCTACATTCTGTCTTACCTCTAATTCTTTCAATTATAACCCTACCGTACACTTTTCCTGGTATACTCAGTAAGCTTATTCCTCTATAATTTTTACAGTCTCTTTTGTCCCCTTTCCCTTTATATAAAGGGACTATACATGCTCTCTGCCAATCCCTAGGTACCTTCCCCTCTTTCATACATTTATTAAACAAAAGTACCAACCACTCCAACACTATATCCCCCCCTGCTTTTAACATTTCTGTCATGATCCCATCAGTTCCAGCTGCTTTACCCCCTTTCATTTTACGTAATGCCTCACGTACCTCCCCCACACTTACATTCTGCTCTTCTTCACTCCTAAAAGATGGTATACCTCCCTGACCAGTGCATGAAATTACTGCCTCTGTTTCTTCCTTAACATTTAAAAGTTCCTCAAAATATTCTCGCCATCTTCCCAATACCTCCATCTCCCCATCTACTAACTCCCCTACTCTGTTTTTAACTGACAAATCCATATTTTCCCTAGGCTTTCTTAACTTGTTTAACTCACTCCAAAATTTTTTCTTATTTTCATTAAAATTTCTTGACAGTGCCTCTCCCACTCTATCATCTGCTCTCCTTTTGCACTCTCTCACCACTCTCTTTACCTTTCTTTTACTCTCCATATACTCTGCTCTTCTTATAACACTTCTGCTTTGTAAAAACCTCTCATAAGCTACCTTTTTCTCTTTTATCACACCCTTTACTTCATCATTCCACCAATCACTCCTCTTTCCTCCTGCCCCCACCCTCCTATAACCACAAACTTCTGCCCCACATTCTAATACTGCATTTTTAAAACTATTCCAACCCTCTTCAACCCCCCCACTACTCATCTTTGCACTAGCCCACCTTTCTGCCAATAGTCGCTTATATCTCACCCGAACTTCCTCCTCCCTTAGTTTATACACTTTCACCTCCCTCTTACTTGTTGTTGCCACCTTCCTCTTTTCCCATCTACCTCTTACTCTAACTGTAGCTACAACTAAATAATGATCCGATATATCAGTTGCCCCTCTATAAACATGTACATCCTGGAGCCTACCCATCAACCTTTTATCCACCAATACATAATCTAATAAACTACTTTCATTATGTGCTACATCATACCTTGTATATTTATTTATCCTCTTTTTCATAAAATATGTATTACTTATTACCAAATTTCTTTCTACACATAGCTCAATTAAAGGCTCCCCATTTACATTTACCCCTGTAAATGTTGCACATGTGTCTTATTTATAGTGTAAATATTTATTTATAAATTAAAGTGTAAATATTTCTTATTTATAAATTATGTACATTGTTTGTGTGAATAGTGTTGGCGGCTTCTGCTGCTGCCTACACTACCACTAATATGTATGGTTTCTCTCAGTGGCCCTTATAAACCCAACATCACCACCACCACCACCACTTACTCCTCACATACATAATGACATATTTTATTCATTCTAAGTATGTATATACCATGTTTCTATGTTATTAATATTGTTTATTATGTCATATCAGATGAATTGTTATGGATAAATAAGCTGAGGAATATAGTTCTTCTCTATAAAATGTTTTTTTTTGTTATACTTTAGGATGTCTGAAATGGATTAATTGGATTTACATTATGTCTTATGGGTAAAATGGTTTCAGTTTTAGTCTTCACATTTCGTTGGACTCTCTGGAATGAATTAAACACGGGAGGGTCCACTGTATTTGAATTTTGTATAGAAAGAAGCATGGTAATAGGTGGTACGTTGTTCAAAGCTGTAGAAGCTTTTTATGAGAATGAGGCTCAGAATTTTCCAATAAAAGCTAGCTTTAGACAAGAATGTGTGACATCACCATGGTTATATAGATAGGGTTGTAAAAGAACGAAATACTGTGGTATTGGGGAGAGGTATGGCCTGACAATGAATGGGATATAAATTAGGAGTTATCACATTTGCTACTTTCAGATGACTTTGGTCATCAAACTAAAGCTAAAGGAATCTTACAGGAGTCAAGAAACACGAGAAGAATTAAAAGCCATAAATGAAATTGAAAGAAACCCAAAGTATTTCTCGTCGTATGCCAAATCAAAGTATAGAAGAACATCCAGTATTGGGCCCCTACTTAAATGGGATGGGTCCTACACACAGATGACAGCAAGGAAATGAGCAAACTACTCAAGTCCCAATATGACTCGGTTTTTAGCGAGCCACTAACCAGACTAAGAGTCGAAGACCTAAATGAATTTTTTATGAGAGAGAATTTGGAAGACACACACCTACCTGATATTATCCTGACACCAAATGACTTCGAGAAGGTGATAAATGACATGCCCATGCACTCTGCTCCAGGTCCAGACTCATGGAACTCCGTGTTTATCAAGAACTACAAAAAGCCCCTATCACATGCTTTTAACATCCTGTGGAGAGGGAGCATGGACACTGGGGTCGCCCAACAGTTACTAAAAACAACAGACATAGCCCCACTCCACAAAGGGGCCAGTAAAGCAATAGCAAAGAACTACAGACCGATACTGCTATCGCCCCATATCATAAAAATCTTTGAAAGGGTTTTAAGAAGTAAGATCACCACCCATCTAGAAACCCATCAGTTACACAACCCAGGGCAGCATGGGTTTAGAGTAGGAAAAGTCAGTAGATGGATCTATAATTTCCTAACAAACAGAACACAAAGAGTAGTAGTCAACAGAGTAAAATCTGAGGCGACCACGGTGAAAAGCTCTGTTCCACAAGGCACAGTACTCACCCCCATCTTGTTCCTCATCCTCATATCGGACACAGACAGGGATATAAGACACAGCGTAGTGTCCTCCTTGGCAGATGACACCTGAATCTGCATGACAGTGTCCTCCATTGAAGACACTGCAAAACTCCAGGCGGACATCAACCAAGTCTTTAAATGGGCTGCAGAAAACAACATGAAGTTCAATGATGAAAAATTCCAATTACTCTGATATAGAAAACATGAGGAAATTAAAATTTTATTGGAGTATAAAACAAATTCCAACCACACAATAGAGCGAAAAACGAATGTCAAAGACCTGGGGGTGATCATGTCAGAGGATCTCACCTTCAAGGACCATAACGTTGTATCAATCGCATCAGGATGGATAATGACAACCTTCAAAACCAGGGATGCCAAGCCCACGATGACACTCTTCAGGTCGCTTATTCTATCTAGGCTGGAATATTGCTGCACACTAACAGCACCTTTCAAGGCAGGTGAAATTGCTGACCTAAAAAATGTACAGAGAACCTTCACGGAACACATAACTGCGATAACCACCTCAATTACTGGGAATGCTTGAAGTTCCTCAACCTGCACTCCCTAGAACGCAGAAAGGAGATACAATATACACTTGGAAAATCCTAAAGATACACACGAAAATCACTCCCTACAAAAGCAAAAGACTCAGCAGACGGTGCAACATCCCCCCAATGAAAAGCAGGGGTGCCACTAGCACAATAAGAGACAACACAATAAGTGTCAGAGGCCCAAGACTGTTCAACTGCCTCCCAGCATACATCAGGGGGATTACCAATAGACCCCTGGATGTCTTCAAGCAGGCACTGGACAGGTATCTAAAGTCAGTACCTGACCAGCCGGGTTGTGGTTCGTATGTTGGATTACGTGCGGCCAGCAGTAATAGCCTGGTTGATCAGGCCCTGATCCACCATGAGGCCTGGCCACAGACCAAGCCATGGAGGCGTTGGCCCCCGGAACTCTCTCCAGGTATACTCCAGGTATTGTTGAGAGAGACATTGCAACATTCTGAAAATACTTCTGGCAAATACAAAAGCTTGAAAATTTCAAGAAAATTAAAGTATTTCTTAATCAGAAATAACTGTGGAATGTTTACATTTGACAGTTATTTCTCTGGGATCTTTACAGTCTCTCTGAAAAAAAAAAAAAAAAAAAAAAAAAAAAAAAAGCCTCACAGCCTGACACATCATTTTTATCAGATTCACAGTGGGAAAACTTCATTCAATTTTCTTTTCGAATCTCACCTGAAAATCCATTTCTCGGTGCTGCGCTTCACGTAATAATCTATCAGTAGTTGACTGTTGACTCAACATTCCTGACACTTGTGTCCTTAGATGGTTTGCCTCTGAAAAATATAGTCAATCTTGATTATCTGTTGTTTGCTAATTTAATGGCTTAGGGGAAAATTGCTCCCGAGAAATGATCTCAAACCAAACTTTCTAAACTATTAAAGAAAAATTACCAAATGACAGCTGTTAAGAAAAACATTAAAATAAATGTAAGCGCATACTGAGTGCAAGTGGAAGTTTGTAAGGCTTCATACATAAGGGAAATTACTAACAGACTTCTAACTGTCTTCAAGAGAGACTGTGATAATTTCCTTAAGTCACTTCCTGATCAGCTGGATTATGATGCAAATGTTGCTCTGCATGCAGTTGGCACCAATAACCTGGCTGATCAGGCCAGCAATCAAGAGGCATGGTTTGGGATGGGCTGCAAGAGCAGAAACCCCCAAAACTGATTATAGGTAGAGTAACTGCACCTGTATCTGCATCTTCATACAGGGGAAGCCTTCTCCAATGCCTTTGTTAGACAACTGTTCAGCATGACTTACTTCCACTAGTCACTAGTGGGTCACACCCACCTGTGATGTCAACTCTAACTGTTTCACCTCACTTCTCTAGTACATAGGATCCAGTGAATGCCTATGCTATAAGCTTGAGACATTGACCATCTCCAACCAAGGGTGATAAAACGATCATGTCAAAATTACTACTGCTGTCTTAAGTGTTGCATTCTCCTGTATTCAACTGAAGAAGCCTGGTGTGCAGGTGAAAAATTTTGGCAATAAAGATACCCAAATGCTATATCAACTGAGCCAGTATTACTAACTTGCAAAAATTGAAATCATCTTTACCAAATTAAAAAAATGGAAAAATTGAGCACATCACACTCATACCAAATTACAATATATAAAAAATTAAATGCATCTAAAACAAAAGAAAAAATTATAAATACAGCCTCTCCTCCCTCAGTGACATACTCGTTTACCGACATCTCGGACTTACGACGGGCTCTCTGACCAGCATTCATACCTAAATAATGCATATTACAGCTGATTTCCTCTATTCTGTTTATTTCAATGTACAGTACACTACTGCATAAACATTTAAAAATATACCAGAAATGTTATAAATGGTGCAAAGGCAACATTAAAACAATATCAAAGATGGTTGACACAAACTCACTACCATTATAGTATGCCCCTCACTTATTGATGAATTCTTTTAATGACTTGGTCTTAGGAACAGAACTCCGTCATTAACCCTTAAACAGTCCAAACATATATATATGTTCACTCGGGTAGCGCCCCAACTTTTTTGAGGAAAAAAAAAAACAATCTTTTCTTTTAAAAGGAAAAAAGAGCATATGGTACCCAGGCATCCCCAATTATTTTAATATGGCACACTGAGTGCGCACACCCATTCTCTCATGTCTAGGTGACTCAGGCTTATTGTGGCAATGTTGAATGAATGACAAAGAAAACGTATATATACGTTTGGGGCGCTACGCGCGTGGACGTATATATACGTTTGGACCGTTTAACCCTTTGACTGTTTCAGGCCCCTCTCTGAAACTGTCATTCTATGTCACTCAATTTTTGAAAAAAAAAAAAATTATTTTTTCTTATGAAATGACAGAGAATCTTTTCCCGGTGGTAATGACACCAAAAGTTAGAAATTTGGTCGAAAACTCGTGGAATTATGCTCCCGCGAAGTTAGCGGTCTCGGCGACATATGCGTATCGGCGATTTCGCCAACTTTGAGCCCTATTTTCAGCCAATTCCATTGTTCCAGTTGACCAAACTCATAGCTATTTCTTTAGAACTCCATTTTATCTATCAGCTGAGTACAAAAAACCTCCCATTTACTAATTTGGACTACCCAATATGGTGGTCAGAAATTGGCAATTTGGCCAATTTCACACAAACTAAAAAAGATGCCAATTTCAAAATAGGGTCCAGAATAAACAAGGTAGACATTTGTGGCACTAAAATAACATATGCTCTGTTCATTAGTCACATCTCTAGGCCCCTCTTATATTATTATTGCTTTCTATTTTGATTTTTTATTCATACAAAAAAATACAAAATTTACTGTTATGCAGACTACTGCATTATTGTAAAAATGGTATAAATAATATCAGTGCACTAGTGAAAGAATATAAGACTCCCCAGTTGACGTGTATTGGACGTGTGGTGTGATTTATTTACTCCTGAACATTGGTAAAAATCGAACATTTCCGCTACTTTGAGCTCAGTTTCAAGGTCGTTTTCATCGTCAAAGTAATGAAAATCATCTCTATTTCTGTAATATGTTTTCCATTTTATCACCTAAGACCATGAAAACGCGAATACAATGATAAATACTATACGAAAATACACCTCAAAGTCGGCGTTTTATTCCAAAAAGACGATCAGAGTTTTTTTTTTCTCATTACGCAATGTGTGCTGCAGGATTTTTAAATTTATGTGGTGCACACTGACCACACAGACCCATTCTCTCACATGTGGGCCTACCAGGTTTCTCCCGTTTGATTTGAAGCCGCTAGAATTATTGAGTATATATACGTCAGAAACATTGGCTCGTAAGACGAATTTATACGTCGAAAACAGTCAAAGGGTTAAGGGTTAAGTGAGGAGAGGCTGTGGTATATAAAGTTAATTACCATCTTACAAAAGATAAAAATCAAAATTTCTTAATAATTATTTCTTACATTCAGTCATACCACACAGAGACCAAACTAACCTCTTTCAGCTTCCTTGGCTCGCCGTAGAACCTGACTCATCTCTTGGTTGAGACTTGTGACCTCTTTCCGCAACAGGCTGGTCTCACTATCTACAGAGCCAGTCATAATGCCATTACTACTGTAGGAGAAAATAACACTAATTTATTTACAAAAACTTACAAATATATATAAATTACACATGGACCAGTCAGAAAAAATAAAAAGATGTGCTATAAAATGGGGCGAGCAGCTCCAATTCCTTGAATTTAGATCCCTTCACCAGCATAAGGCACCTTTAAAAGGTGTATGTTATGAAAAAAAGCTGAAAGCATTAGAGATGACCTCATAAATGGTAGAAGTAAAAGAGGAGACATGATAACTACATATAAAATTAAAAAAATTGCAAAAAGAATAGATAAATATTTCTAAATATCTTTAACCCTTAAACTGTCCAAACAGATCTATGTTCACATGCGTAGTGCTCCAAAAGTAAATCTATGTTTTTTAACATATTTTCAAATATAACAAAAAAAATGTAGATCAAAGTTTTTTTACACATTTTCAAATGTAAAAAAAGGAAAAGAAGCTCTACGTTTTTTTACATACTTTCAAATGTTGAAAAAATGTAGATCTACGTTTGGACAGTTTAACCCATAAACGGTTCAAGCAGATCTACGTTCACATGTGTAGTGCTACAAAAGTAGATCTAAGTTTTTTTTTACATATTTTCAAATATATGAAGAGAAGTTGCAGAGAATGGTGGATGAATTTGGTAGGGTGTGCAAAAGAAGAAAATTAAAGGTGAATACAGGAAAGAGTAAGGTTATGAGGATAACAAAAAGATTAGGTGATGAAAGATTGAATATCAGATTGGAGGGAGAGAGTATGGAGGAGGTGAATGTATTCAGATATTTGGGAGTGGATGTGTCAGTGGATGGGTCTATGAAGGATGAGGTGAATCATAGAATTGATGAGGGGAAAAGAGTGAGTGGTGCACTTAGGAGTCTGTGGAGACAAAGAACTTTGTCCTTGGAGGCAAAGAGGGGAATGTATGAGAGTATAGTTTTACCAACGCTCTTATATGGGTGTGAAGCATGGGTGATGAATGTTGCAGCGAGGAGAAGGCTGGAGGCAGTGGAGATGTCATGTCTGAGGGCAATGTGTGGTGTGAATATAATGCAGAGAATTCGTAGTTTGGAAGTTAGGAGGAGGTGCAGGATTACCAAAACTGTTGTCCAGAGGGCTGAGGAAGGGTTGTTGAGGTGGTTCGGACAAGTAGAGAGAATGGAACGAAACAGAATGACTTCAAGAGTGTATCAGTCTGTAGTGGAAGGAAGGCGGGGTAGGGGTTGGCCTAGGAAAGGTTGGAGAGAGGGGGTAAAGGAGGTTTTGTGTGCGAGGGGCTTGGACTTCCAGCAGGCATGCGTGAGCGTGTTTGATAGGAGTGAATGGAGACAAATGGTTTTTAATACTTGACGTGCTGTTGGAGTGTGAGCAAAGTAACGTTTATGAAGGGGTTCAGGGAAACCGGCAGGCCGGACTTGAGTCCTGGAGATGGGAAGTACAGTGCCTGCACTCTGAAGGAGGGGTGTTAATGTTGCAGTTTAAAAACTGTAGTGTAAAGCACCCTTCTGGCAAGACAGTGATGGAGTGAATGATGGTGAAAGTTTTTCTTTTTCGGGCCACCCTGCCTTGGTGGGAATCGGCCACTGTGATAATAAAAAAAAAAAAAAAAAAAAAAAAATGTAGATCAAAGTTTTTTTTACACATTTTCAAATGTAGAAAAACAAAAAAAAGATCTACTTTTTTACATACTTTCAAATGTTGAAAAAAAGTATACTATATACGTTTGGACCGTTTACGGGTTAAGGGTTAACAGGGAGAACCAAATTATAAACTGAAGAAAAAGACAGATCAAAAGAATACTAAGGTGATCTTCACAGACTAGTTGAACAACAGAATATGTAGGTTACAAGAAGGGTAGTGACTCAGAAACAACTTAAAACTCTCAGAAATAACTTTAAACTCGAAGAAACTTAAAATTTTATATGTAAGTAGTCAGTAGCTAAAATCTAGTTACCTGGTGCTTCCATCTGTGCTGGGTGGGGCTGAGATATTAACATCAGTGGGAGTGTCTACTGTTACATATGCATCTGTGTTGGCTGATCCTCCACTACCTGAACCACAGCTGCCACTCTCTTGTTATAAAAAAAGCACCAAATTATGAAAATATACCTCTTATAAGTTTTCTAGACAATTTATATGGATAGCTTTCACTTAATCAGCCACAAAAAGCCAGGAAATACCACAACTGTAATCAATACTAGTTCACAGTAACTATGTGCAAGTTCAGTATTTAAATTTTTTTTATTTTCAGATTTTTACAAATTACCAATGTCAATAGTGGCAGATCCTGGTGTTTCACGTCCACTGAGGGCCACTAAAGAAGATGCTGATGACACGGAAGACTGCCGAGAATGTCCCATGCTACTGATACTAGAGGTGGTCATGGTGACTGAAGTTACCATCTGTAAAAATGTTAACATGAGTAATGACTCAGCATGAAGCAGCACACAACCATGAATGATAACTCAATAACAGCACAGCCATGAGTATTAAACCTCAACATCTGAAGAAAATTAACCAAACAAGCAGGTAAGCAAGGAGAGAGATAGGATAATAAAAGTAAACTGCACTAACATTATATAACCATCAGGTGAGCTAGCAGAGTAAGCAAAAACTACAATTCTCACCACCACACCATAGGATGATGCAGAGTTTGAAAGCACCACACACTACAGGCTAGTGAGTTTTCAAACTGACACAAAAGCTACAACTACAGTGTTTGAAAACACAAAACAATCAGAAAGCTAAACTCACAGACTTAATGAAGCACCAAACATGAAGCAAAAAAAGTCAAGTGTTCAACTCGTTTAACTCAAAAATCAAATGTCAACATTAGAAAGTGCCCAAACTAAAATATAATGTTTTAAAATATAAATTTTTTTGGATGTCTTTAAGCATATAAAGTGAGAAAGTATGCTGACTCTTAATCACAATGGCTTTTTGTGAAAAGTTTACCTTTATACAGTGGCCACAAAAAAAATCTATGCATTAACAATTTTTGGTCAATAAAACAAAAAAAACACAACTTAATGTATGTATATGTATTTCATTTTCACTTTTTAGCTTCCAACTAGTACTTGGTAATGTTACCATTGTTCTTTATCACCATCTGAAGTTGCCTGGGCATTGAAGTGGTGAGGATGAAGAGGGAGGTGTCCATGTTGATCCAAAGTTTCTTCAGTGCCTCCTTCAGGTCCTTGATGATGGTTGGTCGAGCTTTTGCAATGTCATTTTTCATCACATGCCAGGCATTCTCGATAGGATTTAGGTCAGGGGAATTGCCTGGCCACTCCAAAACACGGATATTATTGTCCTTGAGGAACATTTTAACTCCTTTTGACTTATGGGCAGGGGCTCCATCATGAATAAAAAAAAAATCACACATGAATATTCCAAAATGTCAGCAAGTGGTCCCTTAACACCTCAATATAATTACTTCCTTTCATCATAATGTTCTTAGGAAGAAAGTATAGTCCACCTCTGCCCTTATAACCACTAAAAGCACCCCAGACCATAACACTATCAGGGTGCTTCACTGTCTTCATGGCATACCGCAGGTCATAATGGGACACACCACTGGGACAACAAATGGTCTCAGAGCTGTTCCCAATGAGCCTGAAGATACTCTCATCGGTGAACATCACCTTCTGCCACTGAAGCCGTTTCTTCTTCATGGCTTCAGTTGGCATGGGCTTCTTGGCAGCACGTTGAGCAGGCATTTTCAGGTCCTTCTGCAGTCAGTGCTGCATGGTTCACACTGCGACATCTTTCAGGAGTGCAGGATGCTTTTTCTTGAGGTCTGCGGCTGTTATGGCAGGATCTGATAACACCTCCCTCTTCAGGATCTTGTCTGTGTGAAGAGAAGTCTTTTTGGGGGCCCCAGACCCCACCTTCCTAGGTGGTATGGTGCCAGGTGGGAGTGAGGCAGCTGCTTTATTGAGGTTGTAAATTGCCATCCTAGTCTCCTTCAGGTCTGCGACTATGCATATCACAGACATGCCTTGCTCTAATTGGGTGAGTGCACGAGTCTTCTCTGCAATTGAAAGTTCAGTTTAACCCATTCTGACAACTTGGAGCAGAGATATAGCATGGCAAAGTTCGTGGTCGAGTGAAAAAGTGGGCTATGAGTAACAACACAGTAATCCTCCTTCCTTATCGAGCTCTGGAAGAGCACTGAAGCATGGAGTGGTGGGGAACACTGGAGCAAGACGGGCTCCAGTACACTAAGCCATCACAAGCTCTGCCCACTTTTCTTATGGCGGAAATTCAAGTGAAATGTATACACCAAAATCTAGTGTATAGATTTTTTTTGTGTTGGAAATGTATAGATTTCTTTTGTGGCCACTGTATGATAACCTGTTGTTGGCTTTTACCATTTGAGCCATGTTCCCACACTACATGTTGCTATGTTTTAACCAGAAGCGAAAACATTATGAATTGTAATAATGTCAGTGGTGACACAAAGCTCGGACATGGGGAGGACCTTCACCCATCCACCCTCCCCCCAAGCCTCCCCATATATAATAGTAATAATAATAATAATAACAGATTTGAACAAGGTTTTCTGGCCCACCTTCCTGCCAGATAGCCTCAATACTGATATGAAAGAAGTCTCCTAGCCTCCCCTTCCCACCAGACAGCCTCCCAAACACTAATGGATATTTTACTGAAGCAAAATGATCTTTTATAACTTTATCCAACAATTTTCTTCTCTACTCATACTACCATATAAACTGTCCTTATAAATCTCCTTGCTCCTCATAATGTCAGATTTTGAAAGAAACTCACAGAATCAACTTGATGGGTACTAGTGGCTGAATGCTGCTGATTCTCCTGCTGTGTGGGGCTGTTTAGAAAATCCATCAGTCCTTCATCTTTGCTAACGTCTTTTCTCTTGGATCTACTCTTTCTAATGGTTGCTTTTGGAGAAGAATTAAGGGAGTTCCCTTGTTCTGCCTGGAGGTTTGTTCCTGGTGCAAATGTAGAATTCCCACTGATTCCATAACTACTCAAGTTAGATGGCACACTTGATGAGCTGTGTAATCCTGATCTGTTGATATTACAAATAATAACAGCATTAAAAGGACAAGGCTGCAAATGCCATGATACATATTTCATGTTTTCAGCACCCTTGTGTAGGGTCCTTTATCAGCACAACTTTCACACACAACTACAAGTTTTCTCCAATTTTTCTATTCCTTTCCTAATGATATAGGTTGGCTATACATGTCATATAGTTTTAAAAATTTACATTTTTAATAAACATTTTAATGCATAAAAGGCAATACAGATGATGTAATTTGTAAGTCTTAACATCAAAAGAATTACAATTGTACTATATAGAGTATAGGAAACATCACTTGCAAATAAGAATTTAATGTCAAACCAAATGTGAACCATAAATGAGAGATGAAATACATAATGAAAATCTTTAAACTATAGTACAGTGGACCCCTGGTTAACGATATTTTTTCATTCCAGAAGTATGTTCAGGTGCCAGTACTGACCGAATTTGTTCCCATAAGGAATATTGTGGAGTAGATTAGTCCATTTCAGAACCCCAAACATACACGTACAAACGCACTTACATAAATACACTTACATAATTGGTCGCATTTGGAGGTGATCGTTAAGCGGAGGTCCACTGTATTTGAAATTTATGACATTTTTTTATCCAACACGTTGGTCATCTCCCACTGAGGCAGGGTGACCCAAAAAGAAAGAAAATCCCCAAAAAGAAAATACTTTCATCATCGTTCAACACTTTCACATCACTCATACATAATCACTGTCTTTGCAGAGGCACTCAGATACAACAATTTAGAAATCCCTCCAAACTGATAATATCCCAAACTCCTCCTTTAACCCTTAAACTGTCCAAACAGATCTACGTTCGCATGTGTAGTGCTCCAAAAGTAGATCTACGTTTTTTACATATTTTCAAATATAACAAGAAAAAAAGTAGATCAAAGTTTTTTACACATTTTCAAATGTAAAAAAAAGAAAAAAAAAAAAAAGGTCTACGTTTTTTTACATACTTTCAAATGCTGAAAAAACGTAGATCTACGTTTGGACAGTTTAAGGGTTAAAGTGTAGTCATTGTACTTCCCATTTCCAGTACTCAAGTCCTGCTATATAAAAATAACCAGTTTCCCTGAATCCCTTTACTAAATATTACCCTGCTCACACTCCAACAGCTTGTCAGGTCCCAAAAACCATTCATCTTCATTCACTCCTATCAAACACGCTCAACATGCTGGAAGTCCAAGCCCCTCGCCCACAAAACCTCCTTTACCCCCTCCCTCCAACCTTTCTGAGGACGACCCCTACCCTGCCTTCCTTCCCCTACAGATTTATACGCTCTCCATGTGATTCTACTTTTATCCATTCTCTCTAAATGACCAAACCACCTCAACAACCCCTCTTCAGCCCTCTGACTAATACTTTTATTAACTCCACATCTCCTAATTTCCACACTCCGAATTTTCTGTAAAATATTTACACCACACATTGCCCTTAGACAGGACATCTCCACTGCCTTCAACCGCCTCCTCACTGCAGCATTTACAACCCAAGCTTCACACCCATATAAGAGTGTTGGTACTACTATACTACTTTCATACATTCCCTTCTTTGCCTCCATAGATAACGTTTTTTGTCTCCACATATACCTCAATGTACCACTCACCTTTTTTCCTTTATCAATTCTATGGTTAACCTCATCCCTCATAAACCCATCCGCTGACACGTCAACTCCCAAATACGTATCTGAAAACATTCACTTCTTCCATACTTTCTCTCTCCAATGTGATATCCATTTTTTTTTTATCTAAATCGTTTGATACCCTCATCACCTTACTCTTATCTATGTTCACTTTCAACTTTCTATTTTTTCAATGGAAACACATCATCAACACATCCCCTACCCTTGCTAAACCCTTGTTCATCTGCGATCCTGCTCTCTGTCTTACCCTTAATTCTTTCAAAAATAACTATCATACACTTTACCTGGTATACATTCAACAGGTTTATTCCCCTATAATTCTTACATTGTCTTTTATTCCTTTTCTTTTATACAAAATATGGAGGCAGTGATTTCCTGCATTGGCCAGAAAAACCAATGCAGGAAATCACTGCCTCCGTCCCTTCAACATACAACAGCTCCTCAAAATATTCCTTCCATCTTCCCAATACCTTCAACTCCCTATCTAATAAGTCTGTTCTGCTTTTAACTATTAAATCTATTCATTCCCTGGGCTTTCTCAACCCATCAATCTCACTCAAAAACTTTTTCTTATTCTCAGCAAAATTTGTTGTTACAATCTCCCCCACTCTTTCGTTCGCTCTCCTTTTACACTCCCTCACCTCTCTCTTAATGCCTCCTTTGCTCTCCCTCTATTCCATCCTCCTTAAATCACTACTGCTTTGTAAAAACTCTCATAAGCTAACCTCCTTCCCTCTTACCACTCTCTTTACCTCATTCTACCAACTACTCCTCTTCCCTTCTGCACCCACTCTCCTATATCCACAAACATCTGCTGTACACACTAACACTGCAATCTTAAATCCAACCCATACCTCTGTAACCTCATCATTGCTTATACTCTCAGTAGCCCATCTTTCTCCCAACAGTTGCTTAAATCTTACCGTAACTACTTCCTCCTCTAGCTTATAAACTTCCACTTTTCACTTACTCTCTCACACGTTCCATCTAATACGATCATACACACTTTTTCTGAATGCTTAATTAAGCCCCTCCCTCTCAAAACCTATTCTATATTCACCTACCAACCCTTCCTCAGACATTCCCTACAGTTCCTTCCATCTCCCCCAGATTTATACACCCTCTTAATCCACTTACCTGGTTCCCACCCTTTCTACATGACTAATCTTCTCAACAGCAACACTTTTGATTTTTAAATTACTGTAACTATACCATCGGTGGAATACGTCTGGTTTGTTGAAAGAAGAACTATACCATCTCTTAATTTCTCCTTGTTTATTTTCCCCATAAAATTCACACTTCACATTACTCTGAAGCATAACCTCTGCCAGTGAGTGGGTCATCACATAACTAAGACCAGTGTCAGGAAATTTTTGTATCTCTCTCCTGCCAATAAAATATACTGTCCTCCTTGATGCAACATTCAATTAACATCTACACAACATAAATCCCTAAATTGTTGTAACTCCCGCCACTTTCACACAGCGAAAAATTAGTGTATTTAATTAAAAAAAGTTTTAAGCTAAAAATTGAGATGTATATAGTATGGTTAGCTACAATATATTAAAGTAAAAAGAAAGTGACAGGTAACCTTTCATAATTAGTAGGAGGAGGAGTGGTTCTGGCAGCATCATACTTGAAAGATGGTTTAGTGGTGGCCGAGTTTCTTCTCTCTTTGTTAAGAACTGTGGCTGCTTCGGTGTCTAATTTATTAAGGAGGTGTTCAGCTCGACCAGCCAAATCAGTTATCCAAGACATATTTGACTCTTCAGCTGAAATGAATAATAAATAAAAAACAAGTGAATCTGAATTTTAGATAATCATATCCTATCATTTTCTATTAAATTCTGAGAGGACAATCATGTTCTACAATCTATAATCTGCATTTATACACAATAGTATTAGAATTTATATTATGAATGTTCAAGCATTTATGAAAATATTTTATTTTTAAGACACCAGCTGTTTCCCACCAAGGAAGGGTGACTTAAAGAGGAAACACATTCACCATTACTTATTCAGCTATTATTAGTAGTACAGTAGTACTGTAGTAGTAGAAGTAGAATGATTATTATTAGTAGTACAATGATGATGATACTGTATTAGTAATGTATTAGTAACAGCAGTATTATTGTACTGTATTTCTACTGTATCTTGCATTGACAGATATTATTTCTTCCCTGTAAAAAGTAGATTTAATTTAACCCTAAATGTTATCTTGAGCCATGCAAATCCCTATTTAATGCAGATATACTGGTATTTTATAAACTATGTTAAGTTAATAAATGTTAATGTCGAAAAACAATTAAAAATGTACAACTCTCTATAAATTAAAATGTTTCAAAGGTCATGTAATTACTGAAAATGTAGTACAGAAATTAAGAACAGACTAAGAAATGACTGACATATTGCTGTGGATATATTATGAGCCTGTGGAGGTACTGTACTATCAAAAGGCTCAAACTGAACACAAAAAGACTTTCCAGCATAACTAAGAACAAAACCTATTTTATTAACCTTTAAACTGTCCAAACACAGATCTACATTTGCTCACGTAGCGCTCCGAACGTAGATCTATTTTTTTACATGCTTTCTTATAGAGAAAATAAAGGCCGGAGTGCTACGCGCGAAAACACAGCTATGTTTCGACAGTTTAAGGGTTAATCGGTTATCTCACGTCCCATAACTCAGTTTAATAGAAGATATGCAGTATTAACTGAGAAAGGTAACCCTCGATTAACAGCTACACAACCTACAGGTGCTGACGTGGTTGAATAACCCTCTCAAGAACCTGACAAACAGCTATAGAAAGCACCATCTCATTGTTATCACTAGCAAATGCTTCACAAAGTACTGACTGGCAGGGTTTCAATAAATATGCATCACAAATTTTGGAATACAATATTGATGGTCAAAATTAGTCATTTAGTAGAAATTATATACCAGAGGTACTTACATACTGCCATACTCCTCCTGAATCCTTATATAGCATACTTTTCAAGACTATACATTTATGTAAGAATCAGCAACATTAATTTATAAAGAAAAGCAAAACAAGAATTTAAGATATGACAATTTAGTTTTATTTTTCCTTTCACTGTTGAAAATGAGTGCTTGTCAATACAACAGTTTAGAGTGATGTTACATACTGTAAAGGGAAGCAATGTTTTTTATATTAATGGTCAATGAAAATGTGAAAAAAAGAGGCAAAGAATACTGGGAAAAGTTAGACATATTAGTTATTTAATTACTGTACAGTATCATCTTAAATATGCACAAAGACATGGTGGCTACAACTGTCAGATATAGGGTGGGCACAAACTTCCTTTGGGATGGAACTACAGCATATCTCTATGTTACACTCTGTTCTTGGCAAATGATTTGATCAGTATTTATGTTCTCCTATTTTCTTCTACATTAAATGTTACATACAGGTACTGCATTAAGCCTTGGCACTGAGGTGGTCATTCTATATTAGATCCTTGTTCAATAAACCATCCAATGAATGTACTGTATTAGAAAATTGGTTAAAAGATTCTCAAACCATAGGCAGACAGACTTTGTACCCACTCTGCATGTTCAATGGAAAAGTTAAATCCAATAACCCATCAAATTTAAGACATGTCTGTCATCTAGACATAAGTCTTGTTTTACAATCAAGCACTCCTAGCTCAGAGAGGTCATTTTCATCCTCAGCAAATGATATACAGTGGACCCCCGGTTTGCGATGGCATCGGTATCCGATAAATCCAGTATTCGATACATTTTAACGCAAAAATTTTGCCTCGGTTCCCGTTAAAAAACCCGCCATACGCGATTCATCCGAGACACGTCCACGTGTGGCCTGAACTGCCCCGTGCGTGCCAGTGTTTACAAGCCAGCCAGTGTGCTCGCATCTAAGGATACATTCGGTACATTCCATGTTATCACAGTGTTTTTGGTGCTTGTTTCTGCAAAATAAGTCACCATGGGCCCCAAGAAAGCTTCTAGTGCCAACCCTGTGGTAAAAAGGGTGAGAATTAGTATGGAAATTAAGAAAGATTTTGAAGGGTTTGGGGCTAACCTTGAGAAGCCTATGCCAGTTGTGGAATCTATTGTGCCTACTTCAAAAATTAAGGAAATGTGTGCACAGTGGGTTGAACCGCAAACCTTTATGGATGAAAATCACCCTAACACAGCTATTGCAAGCCGTGCTGGTGACTATTACAATGACAATGTTGTGGCCCATTTTAGACAAATCGTAAAGGAACGGGAGGTACAGAGCTCTATGGACAGATTTGTTGTGTGACAGAGGTCCAGTGACTCTCAAGCTGGTCCTAGTAGCATTAAAAGAAGAAGGGAAGTAACCCCGGAAAAGGACTTGCTACCTCAAGTCCTAATGGAAGGGGATTCCCCTTCTAAACAATAAGTTCAACACTCTCCCCTCCTCCCATCCCATCAATCATCACCAGATCTTCATTAAAGGTAAGTGTCATGTATTCTACTGTTAGTAGAGTACTACAAACTGTGCATGCCTTCTTCAGTTTGTGTGCATTAAACTTAATATTTCATGTGGTAAAATTTTTTTTTTTTCATACTTCTGGGTGTCTTGCACAGATTAATTTGATTTCCATTATTTCTTATGGGGAAAATTGATTCGCTTTTCGATAATTTTGGTTTACGATGAGCTCTCAGGAACGGATTAATATCGCAAACCGGGGGTCCACTGTACTCTTGCAATGACCTAGTTTGCAGTCCACAACTTTTGGTTAACTATGTTAAAATTCCAGTACCTTGCCAGAGCTGTAGATCCAAGTGTGGTTTTAACCCCTAAACGATCCAAACATACACCTACCATCCGACTTACGACCTGCTCGACATATGACCATTCGACTTACGACCTTGTTTTCTATGCCAAATTTCTGGGAAATAAACAACTGTTTGTGTTGTACACAGTGTTTATCCTAAACCTTACAGTATAAAATGCAGTACTAACAGAATAAAAAGTAAAGTAAAAAATGAAATACCAAAATAAAACAATAAAATAAAGTCATTACAAAAATGCGATGTTGATATTCAGTAGTAAGGTTCGACTTATGTCCATTTCGACTTACGGTTTGTTGGAACCGAACTTGGTCATAAGTCGGATGGTACCTGTATATATACGTTCTTACCACTAGCGCCCAAACGTATATGTACGTTTCATTTTTCATTCCTTCAAAATTAGCGTGATAGGCCTGAGTCACCTAGACATGAGAATGGGTGTGAGCACTGAATGTAACTAGTCCTACCGCACGGTAGGACTAGTTACATTCAGTTCCATCTTGGGTCAACATCATGGCACATCCTCGTGATTCACTCATGCCTCGTCGTATTAACACTACTATTTGAGGGAAGTGACATAGAACATAAATTTAGTGGATATGACACCAATGGGGCCACTAATATTCAAGGAATTAGTGAAAATATGGACGATAACCCAGATGACCCTTAGTCCATCACCTCTGGGGTGGCCACACCAGACCCTGGGCCAAGCACCTCTGGGGTAGCCAGTGTGGCCACAGCAGACCCTAGGCCAAGCGCTTCTGGGGTGGCCAGTGAGGCCACACAAGACCATAGGCCAAGCATCTCTGGAGTGGTGAGTGTTACCCATAGGCAACTTCGCAAGAGGAAACTATCATTTTCCCGGTGTTTTAGCGATAGTGAAAGTGATGTAGTTACAATGAGATTGATTTTATGCCATTTGAGGATTCGTCTAGTGATAGTGAAGTTCATTATTTACCAGTGAAGTGTACTTTTAGGAGTCGTCATCTACATTCAGGCAGTGTGCCATATGCAATCCACAAGGGTCGTGGCAGGTCATGATCCAAAACACCGGCCACTGATAGTGATAGTGATCATGAAGGTGAATATGCGGGGATAGAGGAAGTAGTGGTGGGTGGCACAGTGCCTGGACCACATGGTGTAGTGGGTGGACAGACAAAGAACCGCCCAGCACCCCCTCAACCATGTGCTGCCTCCACTCCTGTCCCTCCTCCTGCTCCCCCTCGCCCCATGCCACAGGTCCAAGCTGCACCATGTGATCGTGAATGGAACTGGACACAAAGTATATTTATGCCACAGCCTTGTGATTTTGATGTGAGCGGAAGTGGCATCCAGCCAGAATGTCCCCTAACAAATGAGTCTACAGAGTTAGACTTTTTCCAGTTATACTTTGACGAGCCTATAATGAACTTGATAGTGACCCAGACAAACAATTATTACCAATATGTCATGGACAATACAGCAGAGGTTGGAGAATCGTCACGGCTGCAGAGGTGGAAAGACACAACAGTGGCTGAAATGTATTTATTCCTTGCCACTGTCATGCTTATGCCACATACCTATAAGAACAATACATATATGTAACTACTGGTCCACAGACCACTTCATCAGTACTCCAGTCTTCCGTGACCTCCTTCCCTGCAACAGATTCACTCTGCTGCTATGAATGTTGCACTTCTCAGACAGGAATACGCCAAACAGAAATGACCTTCTATACAAAATCCAGGAAGTGTTTATGTATTTGAAGCAGAAATTCAGTGCATACTTTTATCCCTTCAAGAACATTGTTGTTGATGAGTCCTTGATTCTGTTCAAGGGACGCCTGTCATTCAAGCAATATATACCAAGCAAACGTAATCGCTTTGGCATAAAACTTTTTGTGTGTGTGAGAGTGGTCTTGTGCTGGATGTCATTGTATACCCCGGGAGAAACACACTCGATGATGACAGACAGATGTCGGGCATTTCCA